GGCCGGGCAGGTGGCAGCGGCGTCGGCGGCCGCGGCCGTGGTGGGCGCGGCGGGCCTGGCGTCCATCTGCGACTCGGACACGGACCCGCGCGAGCTCGAGGCGTTCGCCGAGCGCTTCAAGCAGCGGCGCATCAAGCTGGGAGTGACGCAGGCCGACGTGGGCTCGGCGCTGGCCAACCTCAAGATCCCGGGCGTGGGCTCGCTCAGCCAGAGCACCATCTGCAGGTTCGAGTCGCTCACGCTCTCGCACAACAACATGATCGCGCTCAAGCCCATCCTGCAGGCGTGGCTGGAGGAGGCCGAGGGCGCACAGCGCGAGAAAATGAACAAGCCGGAGCTCTTCAACGGCGGCGAGAAGAAGCGCAAGCGGACTTCCATCGCCGCGCCGGAGAAGCGCTCCCTGGAGGCCTACTTCGCTGTGCAGCCCCGGCCCTCCTCAGAGAAGATTGCCGCCATCGCCGAGAAACTGGACCTCAAAAAGAACGTGGTGCGGGTGTGGTTTTGCAACCAGAGACAGAAGCAGAAGCGGATGAAATTCTCGGCCACTTACTGAGGGAGGCGGGAGGTGCCGGGGCGGGGCAGAGAGGGCAGAGGGAGGGTTTCAGGGGCTTTACCTCTGGCCTGTTTCCTCTGGCTTTGGAGTGTCCGTTATCCTGCCTGCGTTTGGAAGCCTCTCCAGTTGCTCTTTCCTGCACCCCACTTTGCTCTACCTGCCCTTACTGTTCGCAGTCCCCTGGCCTAGAGGACAGGGGTGCTAGAAATGGAGAGAGGATGGCAGGGGAGATGGGGGAAGCACCTAGGTGAGTGGGAAGTGGGGGCAAGGAAAGCGGAGAGTAGACTGGGGTTTTTAAGGAGCAGGATGGTCTGGGGGTCGGGTGGGGGGAGATGTGGGAAGGGTTGGGAAAATGGACTGTTTTTGACCAGAGACATTTATCAAAATCTCCTGGGGACCAAGGAACTATGTACAAAATCAAACCCACCAACCACCAAAACTAGAGAAATAAAGACAACAAAACAAAAGCAAAGAAAAAGGCTTTAGAAATTTAACTTCGGGGAGCCATAGTCTGCAGCTTCATTTACCCCCAAGGAAGACAGAAAAGAGCACTACCATGATTACCACCACCCCAACCCACCCGGGAACTGAGTCAAAAACCAAACTAAGCAGAAGGTGAAAGCAACTCTGGGTAGCAAAGCTAGTTCTATCTTCATGTTTAAATTTTCCCTCAGAGTCCTACTTCCAGCCCATCCACATCTTCCTCGATTTATTTTCCCTGTTCCAGTGAGACTCCAGTATTGTGCACCAGTGTAGCTGTGCAGCGCAGTGAGTGTGGCCACAGCTGACGGGTGTGGGTTGGTAGGTCGGCTGCCTGGCTAGATGGAACCTAAATTCTCCAGTGTCCTGGTGGCTGCAGAGGCCTGGGCCCCTTTGGGTGAGAGTCTCTAGGAGGCAAGAGTTAGTCTGCGCTGTTTAAAAAGAAAAAATTAGGATCTCCGAAGTAAATATTTTATTCTAAGAAAAAGAAAACAATTATAGCAAGGTGGTTTTCTTTGGCTCATATCTAATTACAGTATCTAGAAAATGGACTATTTTTTAAACAAGCCCCCACCCCCTTACAGGGCTTTGCCTTAGCTTGCCCTTTATTTTTCAGAATGACTTCTTTCAGACTTTTGGGGGTCCCCCCCCACCAACTCAAATATATTGATGGGTTGGAAGACTTTAGGAGGGATATATCCTTCCCTTTTCCATCTTCTCCACTGAATAACATTCATCTTGCTCTTCAAGGTCCCCTTCCCTCTTCTCTTGAAAAGATGGAGTCATGAAAATGTTGAGAAGTTTCAGCTTTCAGTCGGGGCAGGACTTGGTTGTGAGAAAATCACCTAAATCCCAGAAGAGAGGAAGACAGATTTAAAGGCCCTCCCCCACTCCATTTATTTCCAAGAAGTCTGTGCATTCCCCTGGGGAAGGCAGAACAACTGTTTCCTTTTCGTTGCTATTATTATTCAAGAGTCATTTATTACTGGGGATAAATGTTGGGTAGCAAGAACTTTAATTTGCACTATCAGTTTCCCAAATAGAAAACCATGTATAGTGTTTCATAATAATAATCAAGTTAACTTAGAAGCTGCTGATGGATCAAAAAAGGAGAGACAGTTGAAGGTGGTTAGGTGAAATGCCTGCTTTGTGTACAAGATATTCTTTGGATCTCATGTGGAGGTGGTTTATTACCATCATTTCACCATAACTAAAAAGTCTAATACAAAACAAATGGGAAAAGAAAAAAAAAGAAACCTTGCTGTTAAACAAGACTGATAATCATGCATGATCTGAAAGGTGCAGAAAGAAACACAGTTAGGTCTCACTCTGGTTAGACATTATTTAATTATGTTGTATATCATTGTTTGCAGCGCAAACATCCTATGCATTTGAAACTGAGCACTCAGCTGGACTAGCTTTCTAGTAGGCCGTTTTTTGTGGATAGTGTGATTTCACAAGTCTACTGCCTGTGTCCACTGAAAACACAACATTCTTGTCATATTCTTCTATTTAGAGGTAAAAGGAAAAAAAGGAAGATTATTGTAAATATTTTATTTTGTGCACACATTCACCCAGTGCTTACAAACTGCCAGTGTTAATCCTGAAACGTCTCACGGGTTGATCTTCCTGTCCATGTGTGGCTACTAAGCTTACTCCTTGGTTGTCTCCCATGCTCCATGCCCTTCCGTGCCCCGCCCCTTCCATCAGAACCACTTCTGTGCACCACAGTACAAGAGGGGGTGTGTGTCTCAGTACACTTACGAATAAAACATACCTGAAAGAAGAGCAGTTTTATGATTTGGGTGCATTTTTGTGTTTATATTGGGCCAAACCTTGGTAGAGTGGTTGAACAAACAAGGCACTTCAACGGGATAACCTAACCAAACAAACAAAAAAGGAGGTAGATGGGGAGGATGTGAAGGGGTGATCAAAAAAGAAAAGTTGTTTTTTTTTTTTTTGTAGCTGAATTAGAATTCACTTTTAGATAACTCAAGAAAAGTGGTGCTCTGAATAAAATGAATTCTATATTAGCTATGTTTATCAAAGATTTTATTTTTAAACTGCAGACACTCTTACCACAGCACCCCATCAGAGTGGTGAATAATAAGTAACAAAGCGCTCCCCCCCAAAAAAACTTTTGAAGGTCAAGGACAGTGACATGGGGGGGGGCGTCGTATGTGCTGTTCTAGCCTAAAAACATTTCTAAAATTGTTGTAACTAAATGGCTTTTCTTTGGCGCTTACTACATTTAAAAATCATCTACTGATCTGTCCAGATACCTTGTCAAATAATTCTGTTCACTTGGAACATTCAGTGTGATGCCTACTGCTCCAAAGTGACCAGAGATTCTCTATTTCTTGGTGAACTGGGACTAGATCAGATGCCAAATGTACAAAGTTTCCTCATAGCTGGGATTATATCTTCTGAAGTCATCCTATTTTAGCTAAATCTCTTTAATTTCACCGGCAAATCTGTGAAACAAAACACTTGATATTCAAAAAATAGTACATTTTGAAAGCTGTGATTTTCAACAGTGTTAATGTTTTAAAAAACACTAGATATTTTTAAAAATAGGTCTCTTCCATCAAAATTGATTTATGTTGTTATTGACTTGAATTATCATGTAAGTTTCTAATAAAATGCATTTGTAAAAAGAAAACCCATATTATTTTATAGAAAAGTATGACCAGATTTCATTGTTGGAGAACAAGGAATGAACAAATGAAAATATTTACAAAAGTTTTTTTAAATTTGTCCAAACAGAAATGTTGCAGGCAAATACATTTGTATTATATACTAATGGATGATGTATATATTAAAATTTTAAGCATTTGTTTTGTATTAAAATCCTTAACAAGAGAAGACTTATGTTAATAAAACATCATAAAAACCCATGTTTTGCAGAGTTTCCTATTTTATGCAGTAGGAAACTGTGCAAAACAAAAAACGTTTTGAATTTTGATGAGTTAATCTGTATACAGCTGAAAAGAATAATACGACCACTTAAGATATCTTTAACTGTCAAACCATGGACAAACAAACAAAAATGTCCTTCTGAAGAGAACGCAAAAGCCTGGCAGTCAGAGTAGTTTGGCCTTTTAAAGTTCTCTGATTCTAAAGAGCTGTACTTCACGCTAAACAGATTTCCGTGCCTGTCAGTGGTGGAAATGTATGACTAGGCGTTCTTTTAAGGAATAGTCTCAAAATAAGTTTGAGAGGGGAGTAAAAGTGGGCTCCGCTTGCTTTTGAGCTTCTGAGGAAATCCAGGTGGCAGAGTAAAAAAGACAAAAAGAGAAGCACTAAAATGCGCCCGCTACATTCATACCATGCCTTCGTTTTAAACTCTTTTCCCCAGCTTTGCACTGGGTCCTGCTCCTTCTCTAAGAAATGATGTGCTTAAAATCCATCAACTAACTTCTCAATAGATTTTTGTCTAATGCGTGTTCTGACATTGCTCTCAACTTCGATTGTACTCTCATAAATAAACCGTAGGCACCCACTGCCGTGACTATCGATTTTTACTGCCTCGCGATACTTATGGGTCCGGTTCCCACGCGCGGCCCCCTAGGCCGGAGGACACCGGTGGGGCAGCCGCCGCTGCAGCCCTGTCCGCCCGTCCGGCCTCCCTGGTGAAGGGCGCCCCAGCTCTGCCCGTCGGGTTCGTGGGCTTCCACGGTTTAGCGCGCGAAGTTGAAACGGGGGCCCTGTCCCTGGCTAAAACTAGTGCTCCCCAAACCATTCTAATGGCTTTGGGTCCAAAGTGTTACTAAAGGCGATGACCACAATTATTATTGACAAACTTCTGCCATGGGCGATACTGCGGCCGCGGTCTTACCCCGGGAAGAGAGCCACGCAATCCTCCAGGGTTGTTTCAGAGGAGACCGCGAGCTTAATTGATTTTTTAAAAAAATTGCAGCCAAAATCTAATTCTCACGGGGGCCTCTTTTCCACCCGCGAGATAAGCCTTGTCGCAATAATTACGTTATTTAATATTTGATCAAACCTTCGCGCCACGGCGGCGGGGGCAGCGGGCGAGCGGCGCGGCCACGACCAGCCGGGCGCGAGCGGCGGGAGCGTGCGGCCGCCCGCCCGGCGTACCCGGCCCTCTGCATAATTCATGGATGAGAGCTCCGGAAATTAATAAAATGAGTGATAACAAGAAGCTAATTAAAAACTTCGGTAATTGTTGTCAAGTCAGCTTGATGGGAGACAGACCCTTCGCAGTCCCGCGCGGGGAGCGGCCGGCCGGCC